GGCGCTGTCCCTCAGCTCTTCAGCTCAAGGCTAGCGCTCTACCACTTGAGCCACAGCGCCACTTCCGGCTTTTTCTGCTTATGTGGAGCTGAGGAATCGAACCCAGGGCCTCAGGCATGCAAGGCAAGCACTCTACCACTGAGCCACCTTCCCAGCCCCTCACACTTCTATTTCTATAGAGGCAGTAGACGGTGGAGCTCACCTGTAATTCCATTTACTTGGGTGTCAGAGAAAGGGAGGATTAGAATTCAAGGCTTGCCTGAGCAAAAAAGGACCCTACCTCAAAACCAAAGCTGGGCAGTTGGGAAGAAAGGCAGGAACACTTCAAGGTCAAAGCTAGATTGGACTATACAGTATGACCTTATCTCAAAAATAACCAAACGAGAGAAAGAAGAGTCATTTTTTCAGGACACAGCCACACTTAGAATCTGTCAGTGTACAAGAGGGTTAGGAAACACAGGAGCACAGCAGTGCCAGGGTGCACCAGAGACATAAAGAACTGGATTGTAGTTTTCACAAGTTTTTTTGGCTCTGTCTCCCTCCCTCTATTCCTGACCCAGGTGCAGTCCATGAACCTTTTTGCTTAGGGATATAGCTCCCCTTCTGACTCTGTGTGTGTGCTTAACTAGAAATCAGAGGCTCAAAGACTTTCCTGCCTAGGTTGGCTTTGAATTGATACTCCAATCTCAGTCTCCTGAATGGCTTCACCTTTTTAATGATAATTTGGTCTTCTTTACTAATTTATGTTTTTAAATTTTGGGACCATCTAATCTAACAATGGGCTTTCAAACAATTGTCTCTGGGCTGAGTAAAGACTGTTCATTACCTTAATTCCTCTGCCAGCACTTGGGGACAGTCCATCTGTTACTAGGTCTCCTGAGGCTAGCTATTATACTTCCATACATAAAAACAACATCCGTCCTTTAAGTGGATTAAGGCAGGTAATAAATGATGGAGTGCTGGTGTGACTTGGAAGGCAAAGGACCAGTGAAGTTTTCAGTTAAAGGAATTCTGAAAGCTCCAATTACCTTGGCTAATCAGAAACAATGAATATTTCTAATAACTTTAAAATGGTTGGATTAAAAAAAATTTTTTTTTTGGGGGGGGGGAAGGGACTGGTCTTGTATTCTACCACTTGAGCCCTAACTGTAGTAGCAGGATTTTGGTGGTTAATTAAGAGATAAATGTTTCATGGCCTTTCCTGCTGGGGCTGGCTTTGAACCTGATCAGTCTCCTGAGTAGCTAGGATTACAGGTGTGAGCCACTGTTAGTTTAAAATCCTACTTTTAATTTGAAATCCTAGCTGAGTGCAGGTAGCTCAGGCCTGTAATCCTAGCTATTCAGGAGGCTGATGGCTTGAAGCCTGCTGGGAAATGCTACACATTAAAACTGCTGTGACCTGCTCTAGAATGTCCGTCGGGTTTCTGGCACACCTCCAGGAGGCACAGGGCAGCAGCAGCACACAGCACTGTCTACGGGACAACAACGTTGGCCTTCCAGTCCCACTTCAACTTCCAGCTAGTTTTACACTCCCGACAACACACGGAACCAAACACAACCAAGCTGCAACTAAGTGAAACTCAGCCCCGCCTCTCTCAGTCCCGATTCATGACACTGTTGTCAGTTCAAATAACACTGCTCAAGCAGTGTTGATTCCTTACTCCAACCTAGGATTTAATCCAAGCCTATTTCTGTAACAGGTGAGTTTAAAGGCTGAGAAACAGACTGAAAACTCACGTTCTAAAAGAGGATTATTTTAAAGCCATAACCAGAAGATTTAGACATCTGCATATTCAAATGTGTGTGTGTGCGTGCATGTGTGTGTCTTCTTGGCTGGGGGTGGGGGAGTGTGGGTTTGATGGAGATGGACATCTGGGACTTGTGCACAGGAAACACATGACAGAGCGCTGAGCAACACCCGCAGCCTCAGCCCTCTGCTTCAGAGCCTAGGGTCTAACCAGAGAGGCTGTGCCCTGTGCCCTGTGCCGCTGCCACTCCAGAGACAGCAGGGCAGGGGATGGAGACCTTGAGTACTGTGTGCATGCACACATACAAAGCACAGTGCTGCTGAACCAGATCTGTGCAACGGGAGACTCAGAGCAACACTCAGGTTACTGCCTTAGTTCTACTAGTATTGGTAGGACTGTCCTCTCTTGGAGTGAGAGGCGGGAGGAGGAGGAGGAAGTATTGGGAAAACGGGGGCCTCCTGCCTTGCTGATGGGATTGAAAATGAGGCGGTCATGGTGCAAACAGCAATTTCTGAAGTGAAACTGGGGAATAGCCACGTAACTGTGCAGCTGGAGGCGGTGAGACCTCCCACGTGTCCAGCCTCTGTGTTTCTCAGGGCTTTGCAAGTGGTAAGATTTTTAAACACAGAGTAAGCTGACAGGATGTTGTGCAGGGGTGCTTAGGAGGTCTAGGATAGAAATGTCATATTCTACATTTAGCTGTGGTGATGGCTTATAGCTCTATCAGCTGTACTATATATTCTTGTATACTAAAAGCACTGATCTTTACACTCAGAGCAGGTAGGTTTTATGGCATGTGAATTCAATTGAAATAAAGCTGCTATTAAGAAAATTAGTTTAGGGCTGGGAAGGTGGCTCAGTGGTAGAGTGCTTGCCTTGCATGCATGAGGCCATGGGTTCCATTCCTCAGCACCACATAAGTAGAAAAAGCTGGAAGTGGTGCTGTGGCTCAAGTGGTGGAGCGCTAGCCTTGAGCTGAGGTGCTGAGGGACAGCGCCCAGGCCCAGAGTTCAGGCCTCACAACCGACAAAAAAAAAGAAAAAAAGAAAAAAGAAAATTAGTTTGAGGCTGGGAAGGTGGCTCAGTGGTAGAGTGCTTGCCTTGCATACATGAGGCTTGGGTTCAATTCCTCAGCACTACAGAAGCAGAAAAAGCCAGAAGTGGCGCTGTGGCTCAAATGGTAGAGCGCTCTCCTTGAGCTGAAGAGCTGAGGGACAGCGCCCAGACCCAGAGTTCAGGCCCCACGACCAGCACACACCCACCCACACCCAGAAAATTAGTCTGGAGACAGGTTGTGGTGGTTCACCCTGTAATCCCAGCACTTGGAGGCAGTCAGGATTGAGTTTGATGCCAGCCTGGGTTACATATAGGTATCTCTTCTCAAAAAAGAAAGTTTGAAACTCCAATAGAGTTGTGCAAAACAAAAAGAAAGAAAAAGAAAAGAACAGAATCCTCACAAGCAGTGGGAGGGCCCAGAGGGCACCGGACAAGGGGGAGCGCTGGCCAGCAGGTGCCCGTCAGGGCGGGGCGGCCAGGCAGGCAGAAGGGCGGCTAGCAGACTCCTGCGGGTGGGGGGCTGGAGGAGGCTGGGCTTCACTGAGCCCCAGGCCACAGCTCCAGCGAAGGAGGGGAGGGCAGGCGGCAGGCTCAGGGCTGATGGAGGACGGAGTGGGCACAAGCCCGGGCTCTGGGACTCACCTGGGCCTCCCCCAGGTCGTTGTTCACCACAGTGAAGTTCAGCCCCAGCTCTTCCACATCCTCCTCATAGCTTTTGAGAAACAGAAGGTTCCTGTACACCTCGGGGTCCAAGGAGGCCAGGTGATGGATGTCCACGTCGGCACTGGTCCCCAGCAGCTTGGACAGGAAAAAGCCTGCGAAGGGCAGCTCCACGAGCATGTTTTCATAAAGCGCCTTTAAACAGAGAGCAGACAGTGATTAGCACGTGCAAGCTTCCTTCTGCTTCCTGCAGACAGACACCGGGGCTTGCCACAGCCAGGCTGCCCATGCCTTCTGCGTGCAGACAGCCCTGTGGCAGCCGGGGACAGGCCACAGGATGCGAACGCAGATGGGCCCTTTCAGGCGGCAACAGAGACCAGCAAGTGTCTTCCTTAAATGTTTTAAGCTCGCAAGTGTTCTGGGCTTTGTACCGAGTCATCACGAATGACAGACTCATTGCAACACAAAGGTGCGGAGGGACAGGGCTGCCTCTGAAGGCTAAAATAAAGGGCTCTTCACCAGCCTTTCCAGCACTAGGGTTCGGTCATGCTTGTTCTTAGCTTCAGCTACATTACTCTACTGTGACTCTGCTTTGTGCGGCTTCTCCCCTCTCCCTCACAAGCAGTCTGGTCACTGGGTTTTGGAATCCTTCCTCCAAATCTGTAAGGATTTCATTTCCAAATGACAGTTGTATTCACTCTTGGGTATGCTGGGGCCTCGACGCGGGCCAGGCCATCTTTCCCAGTTACCAGCTCTGCAGTGCAGAAGCGGCTGACAGCATGCGCGATAATACCACATGAGCTTTACATGTTAGGAAATGCATCTTCTCAGCACTTGGCAGGCTGAGGCTGGAGGGTCTTTTCTTTTTGGTACCAGTTCCGGGGCTTGAACTTGGGGCCTGGATGATGTCCCTGAACTTTTGTGTGATCTACCACTTGATCTTGTGATCTACTATTTGAACTACAGCTCCACATCCAACTTTTTGGTGGCTAACGGGAGATAAGAATCTCAAGGAGCTTCCAGCCCAGGCTGGCTTCAGACCTCAACCCTCAGATTTCATCCTTCTGAGTAGCTGGAATGACAAGGGTGTGCCTTTGGCACCCAGCTGTCCCTTAAATTTTTTTTTTGGGGGGTCCGGTCGTGGGGCTTGAACTCTGGGCCTAGGTGCTGTCCCTCAGCTCTTCAGCTCAAGGCGAGCGCTCTACTACTTGAGCCACAGCACCACTTCCGGCTTTTTTATTTTTGCTTATGTGGTGCTGAAGAATTGAACCCCGGGCCTCATGCATACAAGGCAAGTGCTCTACCACTGAGCCACCTTCCCAGCCCCCTTAAAATTTTCGAGGTTGCCACTCTACCACCTGAGCCACAGCGCTACTTCCAGCTTTTTTTTGGGTGGTGGTTACTTAAGAGTCTCATGGACTTCTCCCAGACTGGCTTCGGATTTTGATCTTCAGATCTCAGCCTCGACTAGCTAGGATCACAGGGGTGAGCCACTGGCACCTGCATTACTTCAAGTTACTTTTTCCTCGCTATCCAAGCATTCCGATGCATGACGACGTAACAATGCCACATCTACTCACACTTCCTGTAAACCTGCAGTGACAGCTCACAGCTGTCACCCTCACTTGGCAGTCCTGGGCAAGGGCTGCGGAGGTCGGGCCTCGGGCCTCCCTCCCTCACAGAAGGCCCTAGGCCCGCAGGCAAACCTGCTGCACGGCCTGGCATCAGTATCAGACCTTTACATGACTGGGCATGAGCAGGTTCCTCTGTTACACAGATATGTATGTAAGAACTCCCACCCCTGCTGGCGGTCAAAGGACAGGGTGCGAGCACCCTGCTTGGTTGACGAGAACCCCCTTTTCCGGAAGAGGGGGGTTCTCTTTCTCACGTTAGAGATGGAGAACTGGGACTGCTGCCCAGGCTTGTGGAAAATCAACCACAGAGGCATAGACAGACAAAAAGAGAGCCCCCCCCCCCACGCCCAGCCCGGCGGCCGCAGCCCACCTTCCAAGTGCTGCACTGAGCCAGGCTGTGGGAGTGCGGCCCAGGCACTGCCAGGGCCCTCTGCCCCACAGTTTAGCATGACACACGCCATGTCCAGACACAATCCAAACATCATCTCCAGGGTGGTTAGGATTCTCTTCCCACTGGAAACCTACTACCAGACCACACCATACACACCGGGGCAAGCCTGGACTGTCCAGGCCTGCCCCAGGTCTACGCTGCTCTGGGGCACGGATCCATCTCCCAACTTCTACTGGCCAGCTGTACCTGAGCTCACTGCCGTCCATCTACACACCCCACCAACGCGGCCTCCGACCCCTTGGTCTCGCCCTCTGTACACGACAGGAGGACGCTAGAAAACAGCCGGTAACACAGTCTCCCAAATAAACACTTCATGTGCCACTGGTGTCTTGTTCACTTGCGCTAGGTCCCAAGGCAGCACAGACAGCGTTCTCTCTGGACTGTGGCAGCCTCAGCCAGAATGCTCAGTACTGTGTCCTTGTGCTTTATTTGTGATGTGAAGACCAATGATTTCTTAATTAATCTGAAAGAATGACAACGGAGAACTTCCTAAAGAGAAACTGGGTAAGATAATGACAACTAGCACTTGGCATCTGCTGATAATGTAAACAAAGACTTGTTCCAACAAGCCACAATTTGCCTAAGTTAGGAATGGTTAATACTATTAACCTGGAGCACTTATGGGCTCCATCACTTCCACGTGAATGATGAGCTCCAAGACTCGGAGCACACTCTCCATCCAGCTACTTGATTGATCCCAGGTGTTCATCTGCACCACGACTTTAAACGTAAGCTGGAGGTGTAAATCACTGGTGTTCAATATGTAAGGTCATTGTTTGCCATTTCCGCATTAGTAACAATAATCCAGAGAAATTCCTTAAATGTATCAGAGCCACCTGAATTTTAAACAGAAATCCCACTGTGACTCATAAAATGTAAATGCATAGGTATAATTTTTTACATAAGGCAGGTTTAAGCCTTTGGAGTGTTTAATATACAAGCACTAATAAATGATAGCACTAAAAACTATGATTGCATCAGCTAAATGGATTATAAATTAAATTTCCATAATGTATGCGACTGAGATACAAATGTAAGCATAAATCAAGGTATTTTCTAAACAGGTTAATTATACAACTTCAAAATGGCCTATTTTTTATGCAAAATAATCCACTTAGCATTTTTCCAGTCACTTGTGCTACACTTGTCCCTTCAAGCTTATCAATAACTACCTGTCAGGAAAAAAATAGCACTAGGTATATGGAAAAATCCTGTAACGTATTTTTCAACTGTCTGTCCTTTATGAGTGTTTATGGCTAGAAATTGTGCCAAAATGATTTGAAATAAAAAGGATTAATTATGGTAGAAGCCTTTTAATATAAGTAAGTGCAGTTGCAATGTAATTAATGCAAATTGTGGCTCTATCAGGAGAATAAATGTGAGCCACACTACAGACCACTTCTGTTTGCTGCCAAGTAACTTCAGTAATTTACTACATTAAGAATCAATAAAAAAAATAATGCTTTTCAAATGCATCTCTATCAATCTTCAGGAAGTTCTAAAGTGAACATTTATAACTTAATCTAAAAACTATATGAGATGATGTCTTGCTTGAAAGCCATCCTAATTGAGCAAGCAGATAATAACTTTAATTATTTCTAATCATTCAAACTACACTGCTTAAAACAAACAAACAAACAAAAAAAAAACAAAGGGAAATGTCAGATAAGAAGGTGTGTGTACTGAGAGAAGCAGGCTGTGCAGAGCATCTGCTTAGCAGGTCTTTACACAGATGTCCACATAGTTATTGAGTGTCATTTGATACACTCACCCATTTATCTGCAAAGAGCATCGTTCTTTCTCTTCCCAATTATGCTGCATAACTAGGCATGTCATCAACATCCCTGTCACCCTGACATCACTACACCTGTCATCAACATCCCTGCCACCCTGACATCACTACACCT